TTTTGCATTCTTTATTTTCCTCCATCTTGATGAGACAATGCATATATGTCAAGTTACTTGGAGTTTTCCTATATTTTATATGTCCTTGAAGTGCTTGGAAAAGAGAATTTTTAGAATCATGTCTCCCAAGGAATATGAGTCGTTGCAGAAAATGAGAACCTTGATGTTGGAGAACTTAGAAGAACATTGTATGATGATGTCTCAGAACCAAAGGCCAGTGTCATGGTTCTGCATAAAACTGATTTGACACTGGTGCCCACCTTTGTTACAGGGTGCACCTGGAAGGTGCTTCTGGATCAGAATAAAGAAGACACCCATCCTCAGAAAGATCTGTGCATCAGCCAATCTGCTAAGAGCTTGAAGAGAATCAAAGATCGAGCAAGGAGAAATGTGATTCATTTCTTTTGCTTTCAAAACTTGAACCATAACATCTAAGCTCACTCACTGTCAATGGTCCTCAGGCTTCGATTCACATTTGGCTCCTGTGGTGTTCAGGTCTGTAAATTAGAACTGAATTGTACAACAGGGTCTCTAGCAGACCGGTGGTGGGACGTTTTAGATGTGGGTCTATTCCTTCTAAATTCATGTTTACCTGTCTATCTGCCTACCTACTTTTTATTTATCAATCATTCAATCATCTGTCTATGTATCTGTCTGTCATCTCTCTTTATCTGCTATTTAGTGTTTCTTCTGAGAACTCTGAGTAATGTACTCAGTATGAATTCTTCCCTATCTCTAATACTAACTCTTAGTGAAGGCATGACTGACTCAAGACTGGAGAGTATTATGCAACGCTGAGGGTGGGCATGCAAGAGAGAACAGAAGAAATGATCAGAGATAGAAACTTGGAGTCTGACCATGACAGTGACTAAAGTGGAGAAGGAGGAGAATGGAGAAGATGAAAAGAGAAGGAGGAGGAGGAGGAGGAGGAGGAGGAGGAGGTGAAAGAGGAGGAGGGGCAGAAAAGAGGAGGAAAAGAAGAAGGAAGAGGAGGAGGAGAAAAAGAGAAAGTGGGAGGAGAGACAGGGAGGAGAGAGAGAGAGAGATTTCAGTTCAGTTTCCATGGAAAGTAAAAGTAATCTTTACAAAGGCAAGATCCCTGGAGAAGATTAGGACTTGCAGATAATAGAGACTAAGGCAGCACATTCCATTGCCTTAGAGATAGGATGGAGGAAGTGTAGACAGTGTGGTGGCTCTATTATATTTAAGACCATGGCTATGGGGTTCATACATATTACCCTTTGTCTACTCTAGATAAGTACACAAACACCTAAGACATCAGCAGCAATAGAAGACAAAGAAGGGTTTAATCTCAGTGTCAATGAACCTGTAAAACTTTTGGGACCACTTACGAGACCCAACAACATGTGAAATCTATTTATTCACAAACTTGAAAGAATCTTATCTGTCTGCTGATGGTACATGTTTTAAGGTGACATGGTATGAAAATTAAAGATTTCAGTTCTTGATTATGCTATGATTTTTAAGACACAGTTTATTGTTAGGATTTAGTTATGTGTATATGTGCTTATTTGCAGCAGTGGTGTGGGTGAGGAGCTTGCATATTTAGTAGAGTGGTATGGAGGCCAGAAGGCGCTGACTGCCCTAGAGTTAGAGTTATAAGCAGTTATGAGACAATGTGTGTTCTGGAAACTGAACTTGAGTCATCTGGATGAGTGGTATATGCTCTGAACTGGTGAACCATCTCTCTAGCACCTGTTAGATATTATTTTTTTTATTATTTTTTGATACAGGGTTTCTCCATGTAACTTCGCTTGTCCTGGAACCTATTCTGTAGACCAAGCTGGCCTCAAACTCACAGAGATCCATGTGCCTCTGCCTCCCTGAGTGCTGGGATTAAAAGCATGCCACCACCGCCTGCTCTGTTGAGATGTTTTTATTGGATTCAAAGCCAAGCAATTCATTTTAGAAAAATAAATACTAAATTTTTGTATTCCTTTATCTATAATGTAGTACAGTTCCTTTCTCCTTTTGGTTGTACGCATCAAAGAGAAGTACTAAGATCAGAAAAACTGCACTAAGAGAAATGAATATTTTATAATATATAATTTACTTTAGCCAAACACCAGCATAAATAGAATATTAATTTCCCCACAATGCCTCAGTTCTTAAGTAATATTTCATCTTGATATTTAATGAAAGTATGCTTTGATACAAGTAGCTGTTATTTCTTGTATAGTAATAGCATATTATAAACTTAAACTGGATACAGTCTCTACCTGCTTATAAGGAATCAACTTCTTATGTTTTCATTTCAATTCTATTCTTAATTATCTCTCTGTGTTGATAGATTTAAGTGACTCTTATGGAATGAAGCTGATTTTTAAATGCTGCCTCCATTATGCCGAGAGCTTACACCAACCGTTCACTTGTCTTTCTTTCTATTCTATTTTCAGTGTTTTTTTTTTTCTTTTTCAAATTGTCTCATCACCATTTTCTTCAGTGTTTCAGTGGGTCATTTTACTACTTATTTAACAAATCTTTCTCTAGTGCAAGTATCTAATTTGTTTCTTTGATTTTTCTTTATAATTCATTATAAACATTTTCTTTTTTTCTAGATATGATTCACATGAGTAGAGGGCTCTCCCATACTGCGATTCTTCATCTCCTTTCATAGTCAATAATAAATTTGTGCTCCATTGTTATTTATGGTTATACATATAGCGCTAACAATCATATGAGATTTTAGATTTATGAGATGTTAGGTAACTGTTCAATTGAATGTTTTACAAATACGGTAATTTTACAAAAGAAATAAACTATATTATAATGACCCCTAAGATTAAAGCCCTATCTGTTCTGTTCATGAAACCTGCCCCAACAAATCACCCAGGACAGTTCTTTACATGTCCTGATAGCTATTGAGTAAGTAATTGATTCTTTCTGCCTCACAATTTTTCAAAAACTTCATTACCTTTTTAGTTTATAGAAAGAGAAAATATAACAATAATAGAGAATGGGCTTTGTTGGGGGTTGTTAGCCTACCAGATATAAGAAGTGAAAATTTTATGTCAGCATAACCATGAGGGTTTCCTATATGTAAATTAATAGATTAAATAGTTCTTTAACACAAAATGTTAAAAAACATGAAATAATTACAATAGCAAATTTTTAACAACATAGGAATATGTATAAATGTACTAACTATATCATGAAACATATGCTGGTATTTGCTAAATACTATGCTAGAGCCTGAAAATATTTATCAAACGAAACATAATTTAGGTAATAGTGGTGAACCTAGAAATTAGGTTCTTAATATTATAACAGTGCCTATTTAAATGAATAAAATTTATATTAGATTTAAAAAATAATCATTTTGTAAGGATAATATCTTCAATGACTATATTATTATTTTGAATAAGAAACTGTGCTTTCCCCATACTTTATTGGATGGTTCCATACCCATAGGTCTATGGACAGTACTAATTGGATGTACTGGGTTATAGAGGGAGGAAGAGGAGGAGGAGTAGGAGAGGTAAAGAGGGAGGAGACCTGATGGCAAGAATCTATGGGATTGGAGGGAGGAATTGGAGGTGGATAATATCACATTTCATTGTATACATTTAGGAAAGTCTTAAGAATAAAGACAATGTACTAAATCTGGAAAGAGAAATATAGCATATGGCATTAGTTTAGTCCATGTCAGCGCAAACACTAGTGGTAGCAATTGTGGACATAATGATATCCCCACAGAATAATGTAATAATTATTTCTGATGTCCCTCATAGTCAAGAAAATGTTTCTGTTCAGTACCAAAGGCAGGGGAATGCCAATCTGTCTCTTGCAAGCCATGGTTTATGCATATTTCTTTCAAAAATATCCAGTAAGTGTTTTCCCTCCAAAATTATTGATGTAGTTGTAGATTCTCTGTGAAGCAAAATGACTTCAATGATTATTCTGGGCATTGTACTTTGCAAGAAATTCCCATGAGGCATTTCTTCACCTAAAGCAGTCTGAGAGACACTTACTGGGGAAATTGTTTACACAATGTTGCTCTGCAATGAACAAATTTTTGCCGTGACTGAAGATAAAGATCCTCAAGGTAAGCACACACTTAGAATCCCAAAGCTCTAAAATATTAGTTCCATGTATAGTTTGAACAATGACCAAAAACGTGTTTTCAGCTCCTAAAAACAGTCTATGCCCTTTGGAAACATATGATCTGATGTGATTTATAAAGGTGCACTTGACATTAAACCGAACACAATTGGAAGCAGAAGTGCTCTCTGTTCAGGATACTTTTCCAAACCAACACCATTTGGACTAATGGCGATTAATGTTCTCTGTTTTGAGTATTACATTTGCTTATTTTAATTTTGTGAGCTGCAGCACAAATCTGCTTGGCACTGGGTAGTGATCTCTGAACTTGGACAATACTAAGTAGTGGGTGACAGCTGTGTATATAGATAGTGAGAAAATACTTAAGCTGGATTTTTAAATAAGATTTTTCAGTAAATACTCATGACAACTACTCCAATTTACTAGGTTTGTCATGTCTCATTCACATTTGAAAATTAATGTTAAAAAGATTTGACTATGGAAGCTATATAGACTCAGCCTAAGAGCTCAACAGAAGAACTGTTTTTGTTTGTTTGCTTGTTTGTTTTTTAAAGTGTGGTACTTGCACACAATGGGATTTTTTTTCAGCCACAAAGAAGAATGAAACTAAATTGTCTGGGAGGGGGCAAATGGATATAGCTGGAGATACTAGTATTAAGTGAATTAAACCAGTTCCAGAAAGGCAAATACTGTATTTTTTTCCTGATTATCAGCATGTAGATTTTGTATAGTGATATAAATCATGTTTACACGTATAAAAGGGAAGCTGAGTTGAAATTGTTTGGGAAAACAAAGGAGACCGTTGGGAGAGGTGGGAGGTGAGGAATAGGAGGGGATAAGGATGAGAGCATGCTCAGGGCACAATGAAAAGAGAATTCAGTTTCCGTTCTTAGCATATGATGCTCTCTGATTCTCACCAGTTGTGTAGCTTCTTGGGCAAGATCTTTTGCTTCTCTGGCAACTCTCTCAGCTTCATCAATATTGTCTTTAATATTACTGTAAGCTCTGAAGGCTGTAGTGGCATTGAAAGAGATGTTCTTGGCCTCATCCAGGATTCTGTCAGGTTAGACAGAGAAAAGAACTTTAGAGGAATTAGCAATCAAATAAAGAACAGTCAAGTCATTAAAAGCCCAGCATACAAGGGATCATGGCAAATATAACCAGGGTAATTCCAAACCCTAGTGATGTGTCTATTGATTGTATCATGTTGCATTGTTCCATTTAATGTTATATTCCTCAAGACTTGCTGTGAAATATAGCCAATATGTCTTTTAAGATTTTTATATTTATTTAGTTTATCTCTCCTTCCTTCCTTCCTTCCTTCCTTACTTCCTTCCTTCCTTCATGTCTGCCTGCCTCCCTTCTTTCTTG